CCTACTGAACCTCACTGACATACAGAACCTCACTGACCTACAGAACCTCACTGACCTACAGAACCTCACTGACCTACAGAACCTCACTGACCTACAGAACCTCACTGACCTACTGAACCTCACTGACCTACAGAACCTCACTGACCTACTGAACCTCACTGACCTACAGAACCTCACTGACCTACAGACCCTCACTGACCTACAGAACCTCACTGACCTACTGAACCTCACTGACCTACAGAAACTCACTGACCTACTGAACCTCACTCCATGATGAGTTCAGGTGTCTTCCATCTGGACGCAGGTATTTTCTGCCCACATTTAGAACAAACAGACTGAAAAACTTGTTCATCCCTGTAGCGATCAGACTTCTCAACAGCCAATGATGACTTCTGTACTGTTCTTTTAAAGTCTCAATGTTTTGTGTAGTATGGATGTTTTATCTCTGACTGTGAAACTAATTGCCTCTCAGGGATGATAAATATTCTTGAACTTGAGGTGTACCGGTTCTGGGGACTAGTTTTGAGGAAAGGTGACTGCCAATTTTCACTGCCTGTGTTCTGCTGGTGAGGAAGTCCAGTATCCAGCAGCAGATGGACTTCTCCAGGCCCAGTGGGGTGAGCTTGGAGACCAGTTTGGAGGGGATTATGGTGTTGAATGCTGAGCTGTAATCAATGAAGAGCATTCTCACATAGGTGTTTACCTTCTCCAGATGGCTGAGGGGGGTGTGAACTGCTAAATCAGTAGCATCATCCATAGACCTGTTTGTTCTGTATGTGAACTGCAGGGGGTCCAGGGTGTCAGGAGAGGGAGTTTTGATAATTTGCTCAAAGCACTTCATGACAACAGATGTGATGCTATGGGCTGAAAGTCATTAAGGCAGGATGCTGCGGAGGTCTTTGGGATGGGGACAACAGTGGTGGTCTTGAAGACTGTGAGCACAATACACTGACTCAGAGACAGGTTAAAGATGTTGGTAACACCTTGGTGAGTTGGTCAGCGCACACTCTCAGCTCCCGTCCAAGGATGCCATCAGGCCCTGGCGCCTTGCGAGGTTCTACCTTCTTGAATGCCCATCTCACTCTAGCAGTGACTAAACAGTGTGGTGTCCTCACTGTCCATGTTTGGTCTGGTGATGTGTGTGGTGTTGTTTACATCAAACCGAGCATAGAAGGTGTTGAGCTCGTCTAGAAATGATGCGCTGGTCTTGTAGCCTGTGATGCTGTGTAGTCTATGCCACATGCACCTTAGTATTAATCCATGATTCTATGATGAGGATTAATACATGATGATTAATAATCCATGATGAGGATAAATCCATGTCCATGCTAATTATTTCCTGCAAGTGAGTTTTGCCTGAGCTACTAAAAATAGCATCAACATCTGTTCCTCCCATCAGCCAACCAAACAGAGATGCATCTGGAGAGCATCTGAGTCATGAAGCTCCTGGATCAGTCTGAGCTGCAGTAGTCCCAGAATTGGTCCATTAATCCCTTGTATTCCAAGAAAATCTTACCCACAAATAAAATATGTGCTTCTTGCTTCAGTCAGGCGGGCATCTCTGACGCTGTCCATTGAGTCCATTTTTGTTTTGCCTTCATCTCTCAGGAATCATCCAATCAAATAACCAAACAGCTGATCTGACATGAGGAACAGATTACAGATTATATTATCTAATCCAGGGCAGCACGGTGGCACAACTGGTAGAGCTGCTGCCTCTCAGCAAACAGGTTACCTTAGTTCAAATCTCGGTCCGAGGGCCTTTCTGTGGAGTTTGCATGTTCTCTCCGTGCATGCGTGGGTTTTCTCCGGGTACTCCGGTTTCCTCCCACAGACCAAAAACATGCATGTTAGACTGATGGTAACTCTAAATTTTCCCTAGGTGAGAGAGAGAGAGGGTGAATGGTTGTTTGTCTCTATGTGTCCCTGTGATGGACTGGAGACCTTTCCAGGGTGTCCCCTGCCTCTCGCACAGTGATAGCTGGACATGGGCACCAGTGACCCCCGCGACCCAAAAAGGAAGAAGCGGATAAAGATGATGGAATAGATGGAATATCTAATCCAGTCACTTCCTGTGTGTTTTCCTGAACTGTGGGAAATGTGCACTGACACTTGGTATGGATTTGTTGGTTTTCATCAGCTCTGTGAAACATTTATCTGATGTTTGGAACTGAAGGAATCCCTGCCTTCACTCGGCACCAGTCCAACTGTAGATTAAGATTCTCTGATGTTGAAAAATGGTTTGAACCAAATGGTTCAAACGTTATCATGACGCACACAGCGTCATATTCATGTCACACTAAGAGGGCGTGTTGTTAACGACTCTCAGCTTGTACAATAAAGTTTAGCTCAATATCTGTCAAATTTAAAATTCATATAAAAGTTGTAGGCACTTTCTGTGGTTTAGTGTCAGTTGGCTGTAACGGCCATCTTGAACTTCCTCCAAAGGTTCATCAGTAATGTTCTGTGGTGTTTTAGAACCCAGAGTGTATACAGGTTCAGGGAAGCTCCAGGGTAAAATAAATAATATATATTTATTAAATAAATGCAAAAACAAAGGCTGACATGGCACAAAACTTACAATATCAAGGATCACAGCTGAACTGTGCATGATGGCTGACTGAGGGGAGCACAATCCACCAACAACCAGGAAACACAAAGATGCAGAACATAAAGAGACCATACATACGTACATACATATGTGGGCTACACAGATAACTGGAGTTCTTTCTGGGGAAAACCTGGTCTGATGCGGAGAGATGCATCCATCCCACTTTGGACGGAGCCGCTCTTCTTTCTAGAAATATGGCTGATTTTGTTTATCCCCCAAATTATTGACAACCCAGGGTCCAGTCCAGGAAGCAGAGGTGTAGTCCTCCACCCCTCTGCTGCTTCTCCTCTGTTACCCACCCACACCCACATTGAAACAGTGTATATATATATATATATATATATATATATATACAGTACTGAATACTTTTGTAATGGCTCCAATGATCTGATGCATCCAATGATTATTCTTACAGTTTCATTAAAACGGTTCAGGAGATACTTTTGTTCCACAGCAGATCTTACCTGGCAGATGATCTGGTCTGTGACCATTGGCTGGTTTACCTAATTACAATCTTCTAGGACTAGAAGATAACACTTTATGTGTGATTCCTCCAGTTCTGTCATTGTCCTTAACCTTCATGTTGTTGAACTCCATCCTGTCTTATAGTGCGTGGATTAAAACTTGTTTCACTGGAGTAAGAGTGGCTGCTGCATCTAGCTGTTCTTCTTTTAAGTAGAATATTTTGTCCTTCACCCGGAGCAGAACGAGCAAACAGCAGCATTACCACTGAAATTCATAGGCAGCATGTGTGGCGTGGGATCATTTCCACCTAAACAGGATATGTCAACAGAAAAGTTGTGTTTGTGTATTTTTAATACATTGAATGTTGCCTGTGTTGGCAGCAGACAGATGAGCCTGCACTGCACCCCCCCACCCCCCACCCCCAATAAAGTCTTAGCTAACAGTTAATCCGGTTAGTCACACCACAGAGATACTGCATCCACAAGCCCAAAAATCATCAAGGCTTTAAAATGACTAGAAGAAAAAGAAGAGGGAGATTAGTTTAGGCGACTTTTACCAAGTGCCACACAGGATTTCACCGTGCAGTCTCCATAGTTCACTCTAATTAGCTCCAAGTTGGCCACTGAAAGTGCTGCTGTCTTCTTTGGCTCTTATATAACACCATAAGAGGCACATGAATGTGTCTACATGCAGGACTGAAAGTAATCCTATAACAGTCTCAGCCTCTTGGTGTTAGAGTTATTACTTGTTTTAGACTAAGGTGTTCATTTCAGCAAACAGCATGTGAAGCCTCTAAGGATGAAGGTGTCATGAGCTGGGATGTGATTGTATCCAAACACAGGACACGAGCCACAGGAAACATGTGGAAGTAATCCAGATTCAGAAAGCAGTGTTTCCCTGAATTTAGGAAAACTAAGTTTTCATTTCATAAATAAGATGAGTAAAACTAGGACTAAGTTAAATTCAAGTTCAAGAATCTTTATTATCCCCAAGGAACAAGGAACACAGTCAGTAGGTACAACAAACATCCAGACTAGACATTGAGACATTGAAAAACAGTACAGAAATCATCATTGGTTGTTGATAAGTCTGATCGCTACAGGGATGAATGAGTTTTTCAGTTTGTTCGTTCTAAATGTGGGCAGAAGATACCTGCGTCCAGATGGAAGACACCTGAACTCACCATGGAGTGATGATCAGGATCTGCCAGAATCAGCCTGGCCTTGTTCACAGACCTCGTCTTCTGTAGGTCAGTGAAGTTCTGTAGGTCAGTGAGGTTCTGTAGGTCAGTGAAGTTCTGTAGGTCAGTGAGGTTCTGTAGGTCAGTGAAGTTCTGTAGGTCAGTGAGGGTCTGTAGGTCAGTGAAGTTCTGTAGGTCAGTGAAGTTCTGTAGGTCAGTGAGGGTCTGTAGGTCAGTGAAGTTCTGTAGGTCAGTGAGGTTCTGTAGGTCAGTGAAGTTCTGTAGGTCAGTGAGGGTCTGTAGGTCAGTGAAGTTCTGTAGGTCAGTGAGGTTCTGTAGGTCA